GGTATAGGTTAAATTTACAAGCGCTAAACAATTTTTTCTTATAACTATCATTTGATACACTACAATTGTTGAATCGGTAATCTAATGACACCCTCAAAAAAAAAAAAAAATAATAACAAACATAATTGTTTGTAAACATACCATACTTGATTATTTTTATTTTAACATACGATCATAAAAATCAATATTATTATTTTAATATCCAAAACTAAAAAGGATGGAAAGGGATGAATTACAACTCCTAAGTTCATACTTTGGATGCGATACCATTTTAGGGAATCTATGGTTAAAACATCACGTTTATACTTTATACCACTACGAAAAGAGCACCACAAACATTGCACTTTTTTCGTTGCACATATTAATGTCAACAATCGAATACCATTTACCAATTTACCATTATTACCTTAGCTACCTACCTAATTAAGAATTCAAATTTATGATATTGTAAGAAAAGTAACTGTGATGAAAAAAATGTAAAGTAATTAATTACGATTATAATAATAAATTAAAATAATAATATTGATTTTTATGATCGTATATTAAAATAAAAATAATGAAGTATGTTTACAAACAATAAAATTATGTTTGTTATTATTTTTTTTTTTTTTGAGGGTGTCATTAGATTACCGGTTCAACAATTGTAGTGTATCAAATGATAGTTATAAGAAAAAATTGTTTAGCGCTTGTAAATTTAACCTATACCCATTATTTTAATTAAAAGTATTAATGCATATTTTACTAATCTTTGGAGGGCCATAGTTAATAAACTAGCCAACCAAAATTGACGATTCGACTACCAAAATGTTCAGAAAAAAAAGATTTACCAGAATCCATTAAAACATATAGTGGTTACCATTTGAAAAAAAAAGTTGATTTTGCTATTGGTACACCTGCGTGTTTAAAAATTTTGAAATTGTTATAATAAAATTGCTTGTTAAAAATAAAGAAACACGTCTTTTTTCGTTTTAACGAAATTCCATATCATCGTTCCGTAATTGTCAAAAAACCCCGCGTACAATGACATAAGATACACCCTGTATATTTAATAAGCTATATTTTTATTATGTTATGTATATTGCATTATAACCACAGATAATATTATAATGTGGTATAACTTACAGTAAAATACTAATCATTTAAAATATTGATATATATTTTGTTAGTGTTGAATCTGTGTTCAGGCGAAAAATATCATGCCAAGTTGATTTGTTTGGTGTATCGGACACTATACCTGGTGTCAAATGCCTTGAAAATAATGAGCCAGACTTATTTCAAAAGTATATTTTTACGATATTTGTGTTTTGTCTTCTGTGATATTTTTAATATTTAATGCTTTTGTATTTGCATGAGGTATAAACAACAACAAAATAAATGAATATCCGTTATGACAAGTACTACCAGAACGGCAGAACACTGAAACTTACTCATTCTTAATAAAAAAATACTTGTTCTTGGTCGTTCAGGGATAGTTTATTTTAAATAACCTGTTTGATTAAGAATTTGTGTTTGATATTGAGATATCTACTTGAATGATAATTAATAATTAGTTTTTACATTTTGTAATTGATATTATATCTTTTTTTATTGTTCTTATACTATTGTTATATATATTTTTGAATATAATATGTAGACACTTATAATTATTACCTAACTTATTTTTTATAATTATATTTTGATGTTTAATATCTATTGTAGAGTAGCAGAAACCATTTAATTAATTAACATTTAGTGAACCAATCAAATAACCTAACCAATCAGAGAACATTAAATTATATTTTGTTATATATAATGTTATATTTAATTATATTTATTGAAATGCAACTCAGCATAAGTCTAATATAAATGTATTGTATTGTATTCTTTAAATTACTTTTATGCTATATATTAATCAATCCATATTATTTTAAAACGCCTATACAAAATGTAAAGTAATATAATAAATGTTTGTTTATTTTATGCATTAAACAATTATATTTGTATGTACCTAGTTTTTATGTTTTAGTTATACATGTGTATATTTACAATTTTTAAATTGTTTAATTAGTTATCTTTAATAAATTATCTTTAGAATGAATAATGATTTTGAAAAATATAAGAAAGAGAAAGATGAACTTATGGCTGAAAATGTAAAATGTAAAAATATAATTCAGATGCAAAATGAAAAAATTGAGTACTATAAACAATTTGTTAATTTGGAAAATCAAAGATTCGAATCCCGTTTTAGTGACATTTTGTCTAAATTATTTACTAGTACTCAATTTAGTCAAATACTCCGACCGAGTAAAAAAGTTTCGAAATGGTTACCAGAAGACATATCTTCTGCGATTACATTACGTAGTATTTCGCCAAAAGCCTACAGATATTTAAGGAATAAAAAACAGTACCCATTACCAGGTGAGTTATAACATGAATCGATTTATACGTGATGAAAACTATATAAATGAAATCTTTTAAAAAAAAAAAAAATAATAATAATATAAAGTAAAAAAAGTTGCATTACTATATACACTTTTAAAAAACGGAACAAATAAATAATAATCATTCATAAAATCAAATTTAAGGTTTGTCTACATTAAGAAGATGGGCTTCAACTTTTGAAGTTGAACCAGGAATACTTGAAAGTGTATTAACTCTTATGAAAGCCAAAGGTTATTTAATAATAATAATTTTTTATTTCACATTGATATTATACAACATCATTTGTAGCCTACTATTTTAAAATAACTAATTTACTTATTCAGGAACTTTAAGAGGACGTCTCACCCGGATGTGTTGTCTCCGTCTTACACACGTACGACATAGCAAATTTTCGTTTGCTAGTTTCAATAGGGTATTGTCAGTTTTGATATTAGAGTGAATCAACCTATTATCAAACTTTTAGGTAACAACATTATTTGTGTTCTCTCGTTGGTTTTTTACGATATTTTAATTTTTAAGTGAGTTATGGGTATGTAAAGTATTCATATTCTAAAATGTTCATAACTCACTTAAAAATTAAAATATCGTAAAAAACCAACGAGAGAACACAGATACTGTTCTTACCTAAAAGTTTGATAATAGGTCAGTTCACTCTAATATAAAAACTGACAATATCCTATTGAAACTAGCCAACGAACATTTGCTATGTCGTATGTGTGTACGACGGAGACAACATATGCGGGTGAGACGTCCTCTTAATGACTGACAATGAAAAGCTTACTGTTATTGATTTGATCAAACATATATATATCCAATAGAATATGTTACGATAAAAAAAATGAACAGGTGATTGGTCCACATAGATGTGTGTAGACTGTTGTTGTACGAGGTATATTCTTAAATATTAAATACAGTACTATAATATATTAAACGATTAACGAAATATTTACATTAAATTACTATTTAGGCCTTGTAAGTAATTGGAAACAACCAATTTTTTATAATTATGATACCCATATGACTAAAGATCTACTATTTAATATCATTGAAGAATTACATAAGATTGGTTTTAATGTAATTTCGATGGTAAATGATATGGGCCCTTCCAACATGGCTTTATGGTGGTCTTTAAACATTTCAAATGAAAATACGTCATTTAAACATCCAAATACAGGAAAAAGTGTTCACGTTTTTGCAGATGTCCCACATCTCTTAAAATTGGCCAGGAATCATTTACTTGACAAGTTGTTTATCTAGCAATGTACAATAATAAGAACAATTAAATATTCTATAATCTTTTTTTTAGTGGGTTTGTACTTCCTAATGAAAAGTATGTTGGTAAAGCAATTTTCCAAAAGCTTCTATCAATTGATTCTGAGAGATCAGATTATAAGTTGGCACCTAAATTGACTGAACGGCATACTGAAGTTCAAGGAACTGGAAGGATGAATGTCAAACTAGCTGCTAATGTGTTTCCCGATACAGTTTCTAAGGCTCTTGCATATCTTGACACAAAGAATTATATTGATACATTGAACTGGAAAGATGCAAGTATTTTAAAAATATTTATTATTTAACTAATACAATAATTCACAAATTTATTTTTACTTGAAAAGGCTTCGGAATTGATTTTGTTATTTAATAACTGGTTTGATCTTTTCAACACACAACACAAATTTGATGGAGGTGTTCCGAGTTTTGAACTCGATGAGGTCAATCAATATGAATTATTGAATACAATGACCAGCTTTATTCAGGAAATGCGAGTACATGGGAAAAAAACACTGCTCCCTTTTCAAAAAGGTCAATACATTAAATATTTTATGTTTTTGAAAATGAGTACCTAATAAAATAATGTTATTATTATATAGGTATATTAGTATGTAATAATTCATTAAAAAACTTACTAGAAGACTTAAAAAGCAATTATGCTTTGCAATACATTATCACTAAAAGATTGAATCAAGATGATGTTGAGAACTTGTTTAGTTTTTTAAAAGGCATGGCAGGTTCTGCTAGTAACAATATAACTGCTCTTGACTTCAAATACAGGCAAGTCTAATTTTCATCTGTAAATATATTTTCACTAAACATTACCAAAAAAATTAAAATTGTATATTGTAATAAATGTTATAATATTTGGCTATACCTAATAATTTAGTTTAAGGTGGTTCATTTTGGGGAAGCACTCAGACTTTATTTTCACCGAAAATACAAATTCTGAAGGAGATTCAGAAAAGAGTCTGTTAAATGAAAGTGACTGTTTAACTAGCTTAATGTTTAACTCAAATGTGTTTGATGAAGTGGATGATTCCAACGAACATGATAATGAAATGGCCAATATAGAATCGAGTTAATGTATATCAAAGTCTTCAGTTCCAAAAGAATGTTTTGACCTACTGACCGAATTTGAAGTATACAAACTAGTTATTCATTAAGTAAATTAAAACTAATTGTAGAGTTGAGACACTTATTACTTAATAAGTGTCATTTATATACAATACTATTAACTATGTTATAATTAAAAAATAAAATAAATTTTAAAACTAATTTGACAAATATTTATTCTTACCTTATAGATGGAAAACAGTGAGCCTTTCAATGAACTCGAACTAGATTGTGCCCAATATGTAGCTGGATATGTTGCTAACCGTTTTGCTAACAAACATCCAGAACTTATCAAACAAATTGATGATAAAACTGTTAGTTGTTGGACTAGTTTTAAATCAAAGGGTGGTTTGAAATTGCCCTCTGACAACCTGATGGTGGCAGTCAGAAAATTAGAAATCGAATTTCAAAAACTTCATCAAGATAACATTAGTAAAAATAAAAATATAATGAAAAATATGACCAACTTACTGATGCCTCACATTGAAGATTTGTGTATTCCAAAAGATGCTATTGAATGCCTTGTAAGAACAAGGACATTCATCAGACTCAATGATCTCAACAACAGGACCACAGAGAAAAACTACGCGAAGAGACAAGAAAAGAGAAAAAACAAAAATTTATAAATTAATATTCTTGTTATAATATATACTAACACATTAAACTCATACAGAACTTATAAAACACACTATAAATTAAATATAATATTATGAATACCTCGGTACAGTTTGAAAAACTCAATGTTTCTTATTAACCAACTGTCTGTCGTTTGACTTAAATTACTATAATAAATTAATAAATGATTATTTTATATATGATATATTTTATTTTCGTGGATATGACTCAATATGAAAATTCACGATTTAAATTTTAAGTACAATCATAATAATATTATATAATATATTATATTAATTGATAACCGTCAACCACTAATCACTATCAGTAGACTACCAGCAGGGAAGCAGCCAATGAAAAGAGGCGGAAGTCTCCCACCACTTTCTATGGTGAAGTGAGGAACCGGGGATGCGTATCAAAAATCTGTGATCATACCTATTTATTTTGTCATGGTATATTCTATCTCATTTAACTGGCGTTTACGACGTCCGCTTACGTACGCGAGGTATAATTTCCCCCGCCACTATACCATACCAAGAACCGCCGCGAACGCGCGCGCGAGCCCTCCGGTGCGTTATCAGTTATCACAGTGACTTTAACACAAAATAATCTACTGGTATATTTTTAACAATAAACGTTCATCACATTCCTTTACAAGCGTTAGCAGTCTTAACAAACATGGAGCTACTCGCATAACATTTAGAAATATATATATATATACATTCACATTCCTTTTTAAGCGTCATCAGCGTTAACAGACCTGTAGCTGCATGCATTACCCCCTCCCGATTAACCTGTAGGGACTTTTCGATATCTCCCCCACCAATTAATATTTAATTTGTTCGTTTATGAACACAACTACACAACATAAATTCAGTCACTCTATATCGTTCCAAGTGTCTACTCCGCGCATGTGCTTGTCTCATATTCAGTGTTAAAATCATAATTATTTCTCAGTGCGTAAAATAAATATGGCTGGTCCAATTGAAAATATGGAAAATATTTACAAGAAAACTTACAAATATACACCACCATCGCCGCCAGCTAATCTGATCGATTGTACTACATTCTTTATTGATAGCAATATTTTTATAAATATAGGATTAGATCCTGATTTTTTGTTAAATTGCGTTATATGCATCTCAAATAACTCGCAGTGTGTTAAAATGAGTGTTGAAGTCTATAAATTACTAATTCATATAGCTTTTAACTACATAAATTTTTCACGACCATCTCATTTAATGTTGAAGGAGCTTATATTGGCCGGAATTGTTAAATACAACGGTGACAACGTTCTCTCGATAAAGTGTTTGCAACAGGATCAACATGTACAACTATAGTATAGCCATCGTAAGAACGCTACTCGTTCGCGCATCCAAATGACCGAGCTCCGCAGTTTCGTACCCAAGTTTCTCCCACTCTACCATCTAGTCGCCGCCGTAAATAGGCAGTAGTGGCAGCGACAGTAGCGATGGCGGCGACAGTGGCGGCGGCCAGAGTTGACGGCGGCCAGCGTTCGGGAAGGTTTAGTGGTGGGAATGCGCGAGATCGGATGAATTTTGGTCGCCGCCCAGTAGCGTTCTTACGATGGCTATACTATAACTAAAGCAAATGTTTCAAGGATCTTACAATTAAGTGATGCCGTGGAAGAAGTTATTCAGATGAAAAATATATATACACGGCCTAGTGTATTAGGTCAGTCCTGTGATATTTCAATGTATCTTGGAAAGGAAATGCCGTTACCCAAAGACACAAAAATAAGCGAAGCTGAAGATTATTTATACCGCATCGATGTCAAAGAATTGAAAAAACAACTTAAGTTAACTGGTCGTTGTTTCGTAGCAGATTTGAAAATTAAAGCAGTCAAACAATTGGCAAGGGGATGGTTAGCTTCTTCGATCGAAATTGAGGTAATACGATTTTATTTTTACATATTATTTTATACTAAAGAAAACAAATTTTTTTAGTCTGAAGTAACCAGACCGAGGACGAGGGCATTCGTAGCACGTGAAACCGCAAAAGCAGCCCGGAGATTAAGTTTTCGTTAAGAATGTAATATTTTATTGCAATATGACATTTTATATTGCTGTCAATAATTTATATTTAAAAACGCGGACCAATAATATAATATTTTATTATGTAATTTTCATATTTTTGTCAATTATTTAAAAACGAGGACCAATAATGTAATATTTTATTGTAATATGATATTTTATTACTTATATATATAATAAAAAAAACAACGTGATATTTAAAAAAAGTATTTTTATTTTACAAATTATTTACAATTTCCTTAAGATATATAAGTAGAGCAGATTGTTGTAATATATTGTGTAAAATAAAGAACTAAAAAAAAAAAACATTAAAGATATTTTTTTGAAATATTGAACGTGTTTGTATGTTACAAGCTTATAACAAACTGATGAAAATTCCTTATTATATAAATCCGTACAGTAGTCAGTAATATTGTAAAATAATATTGTTTACTGCAGATTGTTGTAATATATTGTGTAAAATAAAGAACTAAAAAAAAAAAAAAACATTAAAGATATGGTACATTATCACACATAATATCTAAAAATATTAGACCATTTTCAGATTATAATCCCATTCGAATAAACATCTCGCTAAAGCATACACCGGAATGTATCCCAAATATATTATAATATAATATAGTTTACATATATAGGTACATACTAACATAAATTATATCCAAACAATTAATAATTATATACACATCATTATCACAAACTCCTGAACATATTATATAATTTTCATAATATATACGATACATAGCTATATTTATACATATAAATATGATATGACCAAACACTTACAAACTATAATATACTATGAAACACACGATACCATACGGTACTCATCAGTTTTCATTCTGAACACACGCTCAACATATATAGGTATTATATACCTTATCATACATACAAGCATGCATACACACACACACACACAAACGCACGATTCCAGTATTCCATATAGTACACAAACAAGCCACCCAGTCCTTTATTCATTCAATTACATATGAACTCTTATATACATACATACATACATACATACATACATACATACATACATACATACATACAAACAGAGATTAGACGTCGTCTTCGAGATAGTTTGATCACTAAATGCAAAAATAAAACTATCATATTTTGACTTCACCGTTGATACAGTACATTTCATGTTAGAAATAATACAACATTTATTTTATTAAATTTGAATTAAACACAAATATGCTTATGCATCCTTACTTTTCATTTTAACCATATTATCCACTAGTCTATATTATATTTACCTAAACTCGCCTTATATTATATATTAAGGAATTATTATTTCCAAAATATTCACTTTTTAGTATAGAGTTGTATATAGTATATATTATTAGATATTACACCATATATCCACAGAATAGATGAAATCTTACATATCACTACCGACATATACATATTATAACTATCATGCATGTGCATGGGAAAAACACAAGCGTTACCACTTACCAGTCACCGTCACCACCAACGAAACCCCATTCGACTCGAGCAAAACGTATATTATGTGAAAACGCATGCAACTTAGGTACATATCACCCAAGTGGCCGACACATATTATATTTTATCAGCACATAGGTACTTACAACAGTCATATCACTTGTATAATATTTTTATTTTACCGTGTGTATACACAAACACACACACACAAAGGCATATCACCTCCGCTATATATCATTGTATAAGTTATAATATCGCAAAATTAAGAACTATTAACAATATCTCTCATTTCAGTAGATAGGTACTTTATGCGGTTTATTACAAAAATCCCGAAAAAGGTACCTACACAATAATTAACGTTACATTTGTAGTATTATAGTAACATCTTTATCAATAAAACATTTATAAATCTTCATCTTATTAGTCATTTTCCATACAGGCTCATGCTACAATGAGCATATAGGTGGGGACGTACATACATTCTTGTATCTTTATATATACATGCACAATACTATTAGGCCAACCTATTATGAATAATATTACAGATACTTACTTATATTTTTAATCAATCATATATACATTGAAATATTGATATTACATTAGACTAAAATCATAGCTTATATACACATACATGGATTATAGGTATTTAAGAGAAAAAATAAATCTTTTACTGTTATCATTGTACTATTTTTCGTCAAGTGCAGTGAGAATTATATATATAACAATAAGTAAAAAATATTATAATTGAGCCACCACCTATTTCTACAGTTACATGAACATGTGAAACATAGTATGATATGCAAACCCACATTAAATCATATATCGATATGTATATTCGACATTACAAACACCTAAACATATTATATATGGATTACATAAATATATACACATCAATAAGTCACCTACATATAGGCATACACATACTAGTATATAACCTTACATATTCTTATATAATTAAACAGTATTCATACATACATGCGTACATAGATATATATTTAATTAAACAGCATTCATACATACATATAGACTCGATCTATTATTCCAAATAATAATTTACATAAAATATTTTCGATATATAATTTATTTGATACCTAGTTTCTTAAACATATATTAATTGTCATATATTTACAGTTGATACATAAAATATATCACAACGTAGCCATGCATACTGATACAACGCTATCCAATATACAGCAATTAAATGCAATATAGGACCTACTCATATATAATTTACTCATTTTTCGTTAAATACGTAGGTAGAATTTATGCTGAAATCTAAAAATGTATTCATCAATGTGAATATACGTTAAAATGTACTAATTTTGATAAAAACATAGGTGTCTGTGTGTAAATACAAAAATCTTGCTAAAATAAGTAAAAATATCATAATTTCATTAAAATCATGTAATATTATAAAAAATATCATATCCCTGCCTAATTACCATCAAAGCCATATATACAGTTCAGTTATTAAGTGTATCTAAATGCATGAACACCATTATAACGAGTCTAAACGGCCGATACATATCGTTGCACTTTAATATAATATTATATGAACTTTTTTGATTGCTTCATTTTCAGTAGATAAACCCATGTACTATTTACACATATTTACCACACAATTCTAATACAGCTTAAGGTCTAGAATATCATATTAATATCATATTAAGAATTCTTAAAAGCATTACATGAAAAACCGTATTTATTTCAAAGATGAAACAAATTCCTATTTAAATTCCATGGTATTAATAATAAAAAGCATACTATTATATAGTTGTCTTCATCAAAACAAAATAAAATGTAGGTACGTTAAGCGGTAATAATTTTCCACTTAATGATTTCATATATAGAAAACCATATATATTTCAATTACTTTTAATGCATATCTTATACACATAGCCCAGCATTTATTTTGTACAACATTTTAGAAATGTATTATTTGTACAGTTATATACTACATGGATGCTTATTACTTATACTTTTCATGTATTATTCCATATACTTTGTAAAATAATGATGAAATCACTTGTATATTGCCATCACAAGCTTGGAAATATATTTGAAAAATCATGATTTTTCAGGAAAATCGGTAAAATATGCTAATTTCTCCCAAATTATGATAATATTATAATTTTTATAAAATCTTATACAAATATAATTTCTATGTCAAGATCATGTCTAAAATATTGAAATTCTTAATAATAACATATAACTAGTTTGCAAATGGATCCATCAATCATATCGCGTTAGATATTAAATGCAACTATAGTCACTATAACAGAATATTTCAGTTCTAAATAGTCGACTTACTTCTCTTCAATCTACACTATAATATGATATTATATTAAGTTTTATGACTCATACATTATATTATGTTAAAACATGTAAACATATTTTCATAAGTTCAATAAAATTGTGTTAAATTGTAATTATCATAATCTCACTGTAAAAATATATATATATATAACTAATATATTTTACCTTTAAAAACCGGTACATTCGTATACGTGCGTGATAGTTAGCTCAACCCATGGGATGAGCAGACGGTGTAGTGGGATGAGCAGACGGTGTATTGGGATGAGCAGACGGGTATAGTGGGTTGAGCAGACCGGTGTATTGGGATGAGCAGACGGGTATAGTGGGTTGAGCAGACGGTGTAGTGGGTTGAGCAGACGGGTATAGTGGGTTGAGCAGACGGGTATAGGAAATTGCCAGCAGGTTGAGGTGTTAGAACTCTCTTTTTCTACCTACTGAGGGCCAAATCCCAAAAAAAAGAAAAACACTTCACCGACAACAAAAATTTCGTCAAGAATGGTGTACCTTGCCAGAGATGAAAAATTGGTTGATGCCAGATAAAGATCCTTTTAAAGCAGCTTGCAAACAATGTAGAACTACCATGGTAGCTGAACTGACAAATTTAAAATCCCATGCAAAAGGGATTAAACATAAACAGATGGAAGCTGCTGGTACAATAAAACAAAGCCCAATATCTTCATTTATTCAGACTGATGCGAACACTCAACTAAAATCTAATATTCAACGAGCCTAAATTAAATTGTCTGCATTTATGGCAGAGCATACTATTCCTTTTTTAGCAGCAGATCATTTACCTGATTTATTAAAAGAATGTTTTCCGGATTCAAAAATTGTTCAAGGTATTAATATGAAAAGAACTAAAACGAGTGCAATAGTAAAAAATGTAATTGGTGTAACAGCAAAGGAAGAGCTATCAGATATTTTAAAAACAAGAAAATTCAGCATCTTAACAGATGAGTCCACAGATATTTCATCGGTTAAGACATCATGTGTTGTTGTAAGGTAAATGTGTTTTAATTTTATAACAATTTAAAAGCCAAACAACTCTTAATATAATATAATATATTATATATAATAATACAATGATATACCCATTATATGTTTGTTATTTTTAATACAGGTATTTTAATCAAAAAACTAAAATTGTAGTGAGTAAGTTTTGGGATTTACATCCCGTTTACACTGAAAATGCATGTATAGCTACTGCTGAAAGATTGTTTACTTTGTTGATGGAATCATTTTCAAAATTTAACATTCCTGAAGCTAATATTATTGGGTTTGGATCTGATGGTTGTAATGTGATGATGGGCGCTTCAAACTCAGTTGCATCTCGTTTTAAAGAAAAATTTCCGGGCATATTCGTTCTTAAATGTGTTTGCCACTCTGCACATTTATGTGCAAGTGACGCTTGCAAAGAGCTTCCTCAAAATTGTGAAGATTTTGCTAGAAATGTTTTCAATTTTTTAAAAAGTAGCTCTAAACGACAAGCTGAATTTTTACAATTTCAATCATTCTTGCAAGTTGAACCTCACAAAATATTGCACCCATCGCAAACTCGTTGGCTGTCATTAAATTTAGTTATTGGAAGGATTCTCGAACAATGGCAAGCACTAAAATTATATTTTACTGACATTTGGTTAAATCAGCGCTTGCTGTGTGCAGAACATATTTACAAAGCTTTAAATAATCCATTCACAAAACTATATTTTTACTTTTTGGAATGGATATTACCAAAGTTCACAAGGTTTGATTAGTCATTTTATGCTTATGTATTTTGCATTAACTGCTTGTATGCTTATTGCTTTTGTATTAATTCTTAGATTTAATCTCTATTTTCAAACCCAAAAAGTTGTGATAACTGAACTTCATGACATGGTTATTGAACTTTACCAAGTTGTATTGTTGTGTTTCTTGAAACGAGAATATGTGACACAAAATCTTACAGATGTTAACCCGAAAAATAGTCAATATCAAGTCATTGATAGAAACTTGTATTTAGGTGCTAAAGTTATGTTGCACATTGACGATAAAGAAATAGTAGATAATAATATTTGTAGAAAAGATTTTTTCGAAAGGTACTTATATGATTGCTTATTGACTTAGTTTTTTTGTAAATTATTATTACAATAAATACCTAAATAAATATTCTTATGCCTTAGATGCTGGAAGTTTTTACAGAATGCATCCTGTGAAATTAAAAAAAGGTATAATATGAGTGATGAAGTACTATCAAAATTGTCAATTTTAAAGCCACAAAATGCAGTTTCACTAGCTTACCGAGAAAATTGTCCTTCCTCAATTCCGCTGATTAAAGTTGTACCAAGATTGGTTGATAATGATATTTTGATCCAACAAATTGATGACCAGTGGAGAAATTTACCAATAGCTTTAGCAAAACATCCTAATGAAGATATTATTAATTTACCAGTAGATACATTTTTGCAAGTACAATTCTTGTATAATATAATATAATGTATATTTTCTTGTATGTAATAATTTGTTTGATATGCATAACAATAAAAGTAGTATTTGAAGTTAGTGTACGTGAAATGTATCATAATTTTTTTTGTAGGTGGAAAATTCAAAATTATTCCAATACCTTCATTGAATTATGTACATTTGCGCTTGATGTTATGTGTTTGCCCCATGCGAATGCGGATTGTGAATGGGTATTTTAGCAGTTAATGGGGTTAAAACTAAGTTCCGGAATCGTTTAGTCACAGTAACTATAAGTGGTGTTTTACACTCAAAACAGTTGATTAAAACCACCTCCAATGACAATTGCATTAATTTTGAACCCACAAAAAAAATGTATGACAAAATGACACATAGTGTGTTATTTCCCAAAAATGTAACTGACGAAGAAACAAAAACAGTTTTCAATCTTTTTAGTAATTCAAATTAATTAATTTATATTTATATTTTTTATTGTCTCATCATGGACATTGTATGTTTAATCTATGTTTGTGTTTTATACTACTTATTAAGTTTAGCTCCTTATGAATTATACTTAAATTTGATTTTTCATTACAGACTATTTTTGATAATACTCACTTTCATACCCTGAAAATATTTCAACTCAAACGTTGTAATTGTAAATATTTAATGGTATTTAAGGTGAAGAAAGGTAATAAGTACTATATACTTGACTGTGGTTGTATGATATGGAAATGTTTTATTAATTATTATTACTTATATTTTATTTATTTGACATATTTTATGGAGTAAAATTAAACGACGAACTAACATATTAGTCGGTAATATAATTGTACGATAATTTTGATAAAAATACGAGATTTTTAACTTCAATTGTACGTTATTTCATTTTGTAAAGCGTGGCAACACTGGTGTAGTATACCAAACCAGCGCATTTGACTAGTGACTCGCCGAGCCACGCGCCGTGGGAACCTTTAATGCCGGAATCTTCAGTGGTAAGGATAATCAAGGCTATTGTTATGTATGGCTAGAAGGTCAAGCTGGAAGAGGTGCTCAGGAAGTTGGTTCATGTTTAAGAAAACACATAAAAAATAATTTAAATAATTCTATTAAAGAGCTTGTTTTGTGGTCCGATTCTTGTGGAGGGCAAAATAGAAATATTAAAATAGTTTTAATGATGAAAACACTTTTTAATAACACCGATACATAAACCAATACTAATATTCGTGTATCTAAAAGGATACATTGCCAGAAATCATGTATAAAAAACCAAGTATAAAATTATCTAATTTTAACATAAAAGTACCTTTTATTATGTAAAATTTCAGTAACTTAAAACTTAAACTTTTAATATAACAATTCAGACTCATCTTATTTAAGAACAGTATTAATTATCACAGAAATTAGTTTTTAATTAATACTAACATAGGAATATTTAAAAATTAAAATTAAAATTAACTATGTAGTTTCATTTTTTCTGCTCTACGGCGTTGCATTTTTTTGGAATGATCTAAAAAAATATGTATTATAATATAATACTTATTGCATAAGTTAGATAATATATAAATATGTATTTTATAATACTTATTGTATACATTGAATATGTAATTTCTAAAATACTAGCATAATAAAGAAATCAAGCAATGTATCTTTTTGGATCCATATACAATAATCATATTAAAAGGTAATTCTAGCAATGTATCTTTTTGGATACATACTTTTAAAATTGATATAAAATAAGCATTATTGCATATATTATTAGAAACTTTACATAAAAATGATAATTATACACATATTAAATGAGTTGATGCGAAATAGACTCTCGTAACACATTAAAATTTGATGAAATTAGCAGTTGAAGTCAACGAGTTTGATCGGTTTTAAATTTCCAAAAAATGATAACAAAAAACAGTTATTATCAATCCCAATCATCATAGAAACGTTATCGTAGTGTACTCACGTGGGAGATATGACATTTATCAGAGTGTACAAATAATAAAAATAAAAATATTGTACATCGGATTCCGTACAAAAATTCACAAACTTTGCGTATCCAAAAAGATACAATACCAAGCTGGAAGAGGTGCTCAGGAAGTTGGTTCATGTTTAAGATAACACATAAAAAATAATTTAAATAATTCTATTAAAGAGCTTGTTTTGTGGTCCGATTCTTGTGGAGGGCAAAATAGAAATATTAAAATAGTTTTAATGATGAAAACACTTTTTAATAACACCGAACTCGAAACAATAACACTGAAATATTTATATCCTGGTCATAGTGTTTTACCTAATGATAGAAATTTTAGTGACATAGAGTCTGAAGCATCAACAGAGACTTTACACTCCTAATGATTACATACATATTATGAAGACTTGTTAAAAATGGTGTTTTATCGACTCCGCCGTTTTAATATCAATTCCGCCGGCTATCGATTCCGCCGGATTTTTGTTTATATTGATTCCGCCGACTGTTTATTAAACAATAACCAAAGTATCATATTGTACAGATTTTTTTTTTTAATTAACAGCATAGGTTAACACTTAGTATAAAGTAAGTTTTATATAAATAAAAATATTGTCGTCCATGACGGATAATATTTATTAAAATAATAAAATAATATAACTCAAATATCTAGTGATTATTATTTTTTAAAAATGAAGTAAGATCGTAATTTTTTAAATAGAGTTATATTATATAAGGTTAGGGTACACTTAGTTTTCTATAATAGTATAAATTAAGTTTTATTTGAATAAAAACAATTTAAACATTGTCGTCCCCATAACGGATAATAATATATTATAAAATAATAAAATAATATAACTCATATATCTAGTATATCTAGTTTTACAAAATTAAGTAAGATCGTCATATTTTTAAATAATTAATTAATAATAATAATTCCGTATTATGGTAAGGTAAAAAAAAATTAAACAATACAAATATATACAAATTGGTCATTTTTTTTAAATAGTGGTTTGATGCTAGTTTTATATAAGTGAATCTATCAATTGTTTAGATTCTGAGTGAAACGATGAATGTATTGATTTTACAATGATGTGTGGTTTTTATTTTTTTTGTTTCTGTGTACACGATAAGTAGTCGAAATATTTCTATGAATATCAATAAAGTTTTATCTGTTGGGCCAAAAAGTGTAAACATTTAATACAAGGCTCCTGATATATTATTACAATATCAGTTGAAAAATGTTAAAAATACAAATGCACAATTTTTTTTTAGAAGCATTTAAACATCGAATTTTGACAGAATTTTTCAAAATCTCGAAAATTATTAATCATCGTAATTAATAAATTATGAAATGTTCAGTTTTTATAGCTAAGGATTGAAAATTTAAAACAAGATTCCACGTAAGTAGTTAATTCTCTTATCGAAAAATCTAAAAAATATACAATCACAGTTTATTTTTATAGTCATTTTATGTTCAAATTTGGACGAAATTACATATTAAAAAACCTAGTTATTTTGTTGTGATTATATAATATTATTCGTGGGTAGGTACCTACTTGAAACTTCTAAAGTGTAATATTATATATCTATGATAGTATCAGGGTTTGTTATTGATGTTGATGTATAACGTGTTATAAGTACCTAATGGATATTGTGATAATGTGATATGATTAATTTGGAATTTATTATAGGTCAATTTTTGTTTTAATACCATAGATATGTATATAATTTGTCTTAAACCTAGACTGACATACCGTCTTCGCTCAGAATCGTTTTTCTTATACAATGATATTGTATCATTGAAGTCAAATTTAATAGCATCCATTATACAGTGACCCACTTGTAACTTACTGTACAGCAGAGCGACATCCACTTACCCACCTTTTTATTTATATAATCGTCAAAAATGTTTGCTATATATTTTTTTTTTTTTTGGTGATTTTTATTTTTACTTATTTTTTTGTTGTTTAGTCCTCTTATTATTATATACGAATTAGTTTGTATTGCAGTTTGTAACTTATATGTTCATTGTTCGTGTATTATTCTACTTCAACTTATTTTGTTACCAGTTAACTACAAATTACAGTAAGTTATAGTGTGTACCTACTAATGAAATAAAATATATTTTAACATAAGCCTTTTACATGTTGTTATTACTGTATAATGTAAAAAAATTAGGCGGAATCAATATGTAAAAAAGTTCGGTGGAGTCGATAGCCGGCGGAATCGATATGTAAGATTTTTAAGATTCAAAATGAGGTTTTATTATTAATTATTTTGATGTTACTAATCAAGTAGTTCTTTTACTATTATCAATATTTTACTATCCTTTTTAGGAATTTTTTACTATTATAACTCAAGAACAGATTTATTTTTTATGTTAATGCCTGGTTAAGTAAGTTGTTACATTACTATTAGATACATTAACTCAAAAGACTGAGATAATTACTTAATGTTGAAGTAAAGTTTATAAATATTATATCTTACCATCCTATTTAGAAATTGTATACATGTTATAACTCAAGAACAGATTTATTTTGAATTATAATATTAACTACTAGTCAAGTTGTTACTTTACTATACAGTACGCATCACGAAAACGTGCGGATGACCGCAGCGCGCTGTGTGTCAGTTTTTTTGTAAACCAGTGGGCCTCAATATTTGATCTATCACAGGTACGCTTCACTGGCGCGACGGGTGCTTAACGTTTTGAAAAAAACAACTAACCTGCACATTTCAAAATGTCTCTGTCTTTTGTTGACTCTTGGCGCGTTCGGTACTATAATCTATTGTGAATTTAGCTGTGCATACCTACAATTTTTAATCACGTGTTTTTGAAATGGCGACTTTTACACACCACGATATTCATAGTCAAAGTAAAAAAGTGATTTACCGGGTATACGTTTTCTTAAAAAAATTATCCACTATGGAAAATTTATCTGCTGAGTTTTTTAAAAAAACTCAAAAACTTACTGCCGAAATGTGTGGAATAAGTGAACGAAGTATACAAAATATTGTTGCTGAAGTAAAAAAATATGAAAACGATGATACACCAACACCAAGAAGCCTATTCGCGTCACCGAAGAAATCGTATAAACGGAAGAAGGTCATGACAGATATTGACGATTTCAACGTTGACGTGGTCAGATTGTCAGAAGAACTGTTCATGAATTTTATGACCAAGGTAATTGGATTAATTTAAAATATTTTTTTTTTATAAGAAAACATATATAATATCCTACCTACGACCTACCTCATATTAAATTTATAACGCAT